TTGGCAAAGATACAGGTTGGGTTTCGCGACAACAGTTTCTTGTCTGTGGCCCTGTGCTAGAATAGGAAGGATAGTGTGTGTCAGAGCGAAGTGACTCAGAGAGTCTGATTATATTAGAAAAATCCATCTTATGGTAATCGAAAGGTAATGTGCGTAGGATTGTGGCCCTCACGCTCATATTCGCTGGATCATAAAGGTGAAGAACACAGTATTCGCAGGTGTGCAGTAAACGTGGTGTGTGGAATACGTTAACTGCACACCAGGATGGCTCGTAAAGAAAATATGCAAGCACCAAAAGGAATGAGGTCATTAAGGGCAAGAAAGCAGTTTTTGCTCACAGCATTTGGTTCGCGCCTCTTGGAATTGAATAAAATTATACAGATTCCATGGACGTGAGAGCATCACTGTGTATGCCAAGAACATGAGTTCCTTAAAAAGCGTCCTCTTAACAACTTTTGAAAATGAGCTACGAGAAGTTTGATCTGCCAGGCCAGATTACCATTCACTGCACGGAGGTGTTTGGGAGAAGTCACACAGCGAGCGGTATGAAGGATCACCGAGTTTCATGGAAATTGCGAAATATCACAGAAGGGCTCAAATTGAGCGGGTGCTTATTCACAGTTAATCAACATTCTTGATTCAGCTGATTTTGAAAGCAGTCTTCTCGAATACAGTCATTCAAAATACCTTAAGGAAGTTTACAGAAGAACTTGCATCTCTCCTAGTAAAGAAGTTTGGAAAGCTGGTGTACTGCGAAATTGACGTGGACCCGGACTTGTTCTATCCAAAAGTTGGTCAACTAGATTTTGCAAGATAAAACATACACACAAGAAATAATATGGTGCAACAATTCATCCTTGAATCCTTACAGGGAGCTGCAAGAGCAGTCTTCGCTTCTTATAGCGGCTACGTCAAAGCTATCCAAACCCGATACCTGCAGATCCCCAATTTTGAATTCAACAAGCGGGTCAGTTTCAGCCGAGTGTACACAAGTATATGTGCTTGAAAAATAATTTTTCCAATGTCAATGCTTACAAGCTATTTAGGTGTTTGCCCTTGAGTGACTCACCAGCCCAACTTCGAATTGAACATTCAGTTCGCTGTCTTTTTTGTTTTCGGGGTATTACAACCCGCTGAGCATGAGTAGCATGAACATGTTAGTGGGAAAACGTCTGACACCATGGAACATCTTAGACAAAACTAAATACATGTACTCATTAGTAGTTTACCAAATTGATCGAATTCCGCAAGTTATTCAACATGAAAATATTATTAGAGAACAGCTGAGTTGATGCCTCTCCTAAGTTTTGCTCTGGCACCTGTCCTGGCGCATGATCCATTATTGTGCAGAAGAAGGGGTATCTTTGGTTGGGGTGTCAAACTGCGTCTTACGATGAGTTGTTAGCGAATTTGGTAGACCCCTGTGATTTGGCTCAAACGCCAAACATTTATGCTGTATGGGGAAAGTGGGACAGTCAACATTTTATAGAGTGCCAGCATATTTTGGGAAATGGAAATACCTAATTTACGCATCTGTGTACCCTGTGGACGCAGCTACAAGATATGTTGTGACTGTCTTTCATATGAATCTGCTCTTTCAATGCGATTCACCTATCTCTCACCTGTATCACCTGTGCTCCCGTTGATCATCGAGTTCCTCGAGCGGGCGCCAGTAACGTCTCCATTCGTCCCTGCAACGTGCAAGAGTTGCCCAATGAACTCTCTCTGCTCGAGGGACACGATGAACTTCATACCATTCGTTCAGAGCTTTCACGAAGAAAGTCTGACCATCGCATAGGCGGTCGTCCAGGCGTTCGCTTGACATCCCGTGGAATCCAGTCGGTGATCGCTCTGGTCCATCGGTCGTCCTCGAACCCGCATGACGTGCCCGAATCCCTGATCTTCGAAAACCATGGCAAAAGCGGCGGCGTCTCTGACCTTCGATCGTCGGCGGAGTGCGGAGCTCCGGCCCTCTCTCACTTGCGTGTAGCGGGAAACTCCGAGCATCGCCCTTTCGATGGCGCGTTGAATAACGCCGACCGCATGCTCATCCTGCTTTCGTAGAGTCCAAGTCTCTGAGGCGTACGTCAAGGCAGGAAGGACCGCGGAATCGAAGAGGTGGGCACGGAGCTTGGTGTTCTCCGGCCTCGTCGCTACTCCCTCGATGTTCTTGAAGGCTCCCCAAGCCGCTCGCTTCCT